TATCTGATTGATTGATAACGGCCGCGGGCGACTCGGAAGGCCCGGTTCCGATTGGTTGGGTGTCGGGGTCCAGGCTATCCGCGTTAAGCACACGTGTGCTTTGATGCTGTTACACAACACATTGCCTGAGCATGAGATCGAACGCTATAGTTACACGACGGCTGTCTGTAAGCGCTTCGGTGTCAGCGGGTATCCACGTGCCTGGCAAGCGGACCGCTCGGAGGAGATACCCGGTTGTCGCCCGGCATATGCACGCACCTACGCGCGTATTCTCTGCATGTATGACATCATTGCGTCGCACCAAATTGCCGCTGCCTACAAGCCCACAGGGAGTGCAGTGAGATTCTCGCTACAGAGGAAGACATTTCTTTGATGAGGCAGGGCTTGGACAATACCTAAACCCTAAGCGGCTTGATACAAGTCTACACTAGCGATGATGGGGCCAAGTTACGCTTGAGTCGCGAAGCATCCCGCTAGAAACTCATATTCAGGAAGAAGTCCAGGTCGATCGCGTCTGATTGCGCAAAAGGATAGAACGAGATATCCTCTGGCGCAGTGAGGATGGTCGTGTCGTCCCTCACGCCGTGGCTGCCCTCGCCCAGCGAACGCTCGAGGTGGTCGATGCCCTTGCGCTTCTTGTTCACAGACGCGCGCACGAGCTGCCGGACAGTGGCTAGCGCCTCTGTAGATAAATGTGTGTTGAGTCGGTCGGAAATGCTTTGCAGGGTCTCCATCGCCCGCGGGATCACAGCCAGACTGTCCGGCGTGTCCAGCGCCAGCAGCACGCAGACGAACTGGAAAACGGTGCCCACGACATTCCACCAGGGCTGGTCCAGAAAGACCAGTCTTTGTGCTGGAGCGAGCGCGGCCGTGCCCGCGCTGACGATCTCCTCAATCTGCCGTGAGCGCAGTTGGAAATTGATCAGGCGTAGTCGGCGGTATAAGCAGAAAATGAGATCGGCTTTCACCAGCACCAGGAAGTCATGATCGACTTCGATACGGACGACCTTCTTCAGCGCGAATACCTGATCTTCCGCGTCTGCGCCGACTTCTCGGCCCGGGGTGCTCACCGCTACGGCCTGAACCAAGGTACAGAGTTGGGAGGAAAGGTCGGTCTTGAAGGTGGCGGAGAAGTCCTCCTGCCGGGCGTGCAGCGTGGGATTCATCACGGACCGCCCATAGTCCCAGGCGATCAGCGTTTGCAGACATTCGGCTACCTGCGCGGTGCGTCTGGGGTTGTACGGCTGTCTTGATGCCGTATCCGGCGGGGCCCTGCCGGGCGCCAACATGAAGCCGTCGGGCCCGTGCTGCAACCCCGTGGCCTCGACGAGATGCATCATCGTGCAGCTGCAGAGCCACGAGAGATGTGGTCGGCTCGTGGTGCGCATGTACAACGTGCGCAGGAAGTATGCGGCCACGTGCTCGATGGTCGGGAACCGGCCGACGACGTAGTCCTCGAGGATGCTTTTCGCGTGCTGCACGGCCCACAGCTCTTTTTCTGGAGTCAATGCTCCTTCGACGCCGTTGAACAACGACCCCAATGCCACGACTCCGGAGATCACTGCCTCGAAGCTCAGCCCCTGAGGCTTCCCGTGCCAATGCTCCTCGGCCCGCTGAAGCAGCCTTTCGTGGTCCAGGAAGTTGAATAAGGGGTGAATGGTGGTCACATAGACATTGATCAGGCGCTTAGCCATCGCCCAGTCAATGACCTCGGCAACCTGAAACCGGACGCTGGTTTCCGGCTCGCGTCTGACCCCCGGATTGTAGGCGAACGAATGCAAGCGCGGGGGGTTGGGAGCCTGCACGTCGAGCCCCACAAACAGTGGAAACGCGACTGAGGACTGCCGCCCCACGAACCGCTGCTTCCAGGGCTCCAAGATTCCGTGAGGAGCTGACGGGCTGCTGGTGCGCACCGCACTCGTTCCTGGTGCAGCTGCCTGCCCATCATCTGATGCTACACGCCGCGCATCTGCTGGCTGAGTGCTTGGAACATACTCACACTCGACGCTGGAGCTCGCACACATCCTGCATGGAACATTCCCATCGCATTTGACTCTCCGCGACCGACACTGCGTACAGGCCTGGCGCGATCGCTGACGCTTCCGATCCAAGCCATCGGCCTCATCACTCGACGACTGCGAATTGCGTCGTCCATGCCTACTCGACGTCAGTGATCGGCCACAGTGCCACGATTCGGGTGATACATAGCCGTACTTCCGACTCCCCTCGTCGGCCGCCACATAATTCGGCTTCAGCTTGGACGATCGGGATTGCTTCCAATTGTCGTGGGTGGAGGGGGGACATGTATGGGGGTTGTAAACCGTCACCCGGGGCTGTCCTTTCTTGGTCCCGATTCGCACCTCATATTGACAGACCGGGTCCCGGCACTTGGTGATGTGGCGGGCGGGGTCTGATTTGGCGACGAGGTAGGATTCATGGCGATCGGCTGTATGGCGGAGGAGGGTGTGACGGGCCTGAGAGATGGTGTCGAATGTCATTCCTATGCAGAAGGGGGTGACGTCCTTGGGGCTGGTGCAAGAAGCAGAAAGTCAATAAGCATTTTACACCTAACGATGTTTTTGAAGGGCCTACGATTGGTGGGATGGATCCATTCTCTGTGGTGTGGCCGGGTGGATGGGCAGGACAGAAGGACAACCCTGAGATGATGCCAGATGCCACCAAAAAAGCTGGGCATCCGAACGAAAAGACGGACAGAGACACGTGATTGGGCCAGTCACGTGACATGATATAACCCATTGGTGCGATGGACCATGGGTCGGTAGCAGCGTTGTAGAGATATGGGATCTATAATACTGTAAGGACATGTTGAATATACCACAGTCTGACGGACAAGGAACAAGCTGGCTAGTCCCCCTCCCCGCTGCAACTACCTCACAAGAACGTTGTACATATTCTACAGCGGTACACCCAAACGGATCTCCAAATCGAACCCTTGTGCATGAATCAAGTGGCTGACCCGGACACAATCTTAATACGAGTGCCCATAGCCTGGACCTGGACAGGCCATGATTTCAGAATGACGCGAGGAACAGAATATCTATACCAACAATATAAGACCTCCGCTTCGAGACATTTCCCCTCAGTACCTATACCCTTCGGTGTACATACAAGAACCACAATCTATCACCCTCAACTGTCACTAGCAGAGCAACAATGTCCCGCAAACTCTGCATCACCGCCGTAGACGGCCACACCGGCTCCCTGATCGCCGAGCTGATCCTAACGGACCCCAACTTCAAGAAAGCCATCGGCTCCGTGGTCGGTCTGACCCTGCACCCGGACGCCAGCGCCTGCAAGGAGCTGAGCAAACTGGGGGCGAAGATCGTGCCCCACAAGCCGGGCCGCCTCCGTGCGATGGTCCAGTCGCTCAAGGAGATCGGGGCGGACGCGATGTGCCTGATCCCGCCCGCGCACCCGGACAAGCTCGACATCACCAGCGAGCTGATCGAGGCGACCAAGCAGGCCGGGGTTGCGAATGTGTGCATGATCAGCTCCGCCGGCTGTGACCTCGCCGAGCGGGACCGACAGCCCCGGCTGCGGGAGTTTATCGACCTGGAGGTGCGGCTGCTCGCGTGCAAGGGCGATCCCTCCACTTCTACCGGTCACTCGCCGGTTGTTATACGGTAGGGCTTGCCAAGGGAATGGGCGAATTTGGAAGGGGGCATCTTAACTGACTTTAATACTCTGTAGACCGGGCTTCTATGCGGAAAACCTGTTGCTCTACTCCCGTCAGGCGCAGGAGGAAGGGCTCTTGCCGCTGCCTATGGGCAAGGATCACAAGTTCGCGCCTATCGCGCTGGGGGTATGTTTCTCTCCCCTCTCGGGTTGCTACTAGGATAGTGGACTGACGGCTGCCAGGATGTCGCCCAAGTCGCAGCGCATGTCCTCTGTAGGAAGGGCAAGCATGGATTCAGTGACAAGCACCGGGGTCAATTGATGGTGCTGACGGGTATGTACGAAGACACACTCTGAACTTGCATGCGCAAAATGAATGCTCAATACGACATAGGCCCGATGCTTGCCACGGGTGACGAGCTGGCGTCTGCAGCCAGCCAGGCCCTGGGAGAAGAGCTGAAGTTCGAGGATATCTCTGAGTGGGTCCCTCCCGTTTTGTCTTTCACTAGCTACGGGGTATAGTGTCACCGAGACTAAACAGTGCATCCCTGCAGAAACGAAGCGAAGAGAGTCTTACAAGCGGAGTCGGACAGTGACCAGTCTGAGGTGCAGTATCTGCTGGAGTACTACTCGTTGGTGCGTGAGGGCAAGACCAACTACATTTCTACCACCGCGTTCCATGACGTCACCGGAGGCCATCCCCAGGAACCCCCGGACTTCTTCAAGGTCTATGCCCAGGAGTTCCATCCTAAGCGCACCAACAAAAGACGTAAGTTGAGCGGGGGCCAGTGAGCATGGTGACAGTGGCTTGCGGTGATGTAGCTAGTTGCTCATTGTAGATTCCTTCGATGGCGGGTGGTGGTGGCGGTCGTGGATGAATCCAGCTCGTGTTGATGCCAAGGATCAGAAGCCAGCTTTCGTGTTACCCCACAAAATTTCTGTGTCTGCGGGGATTGAATGTGAATACTGTTCATTTGCCACTTGAATTGAAATACATTGCTTGTGATTCGTGGGTCAGCTGAGGGGTTGAACCTCGATCGCTTCACTCTTTCATTCGGCGGGGTTAGGGCATCGTCGACTTGAATGGTCGGGATAATGCTTCCGGGGCTCTCAACTAAGAACAGGGCAATGACCCTTCCATCATCTCAGCAAGCCGTAGACGCAATCTGCAACACGCCAGGTGTTGTGTGATATCGTAGAGCAGTCAAGCGCTCAGAATGACGTGACATTCGAATGATCCTGAGGCTTGGTTCCAGGCAGCCAGTTGTTAGATAGTTTTTAATCATCGCCATCTGTGCTGTCGAGGTTTACTTGCCACCGATCATGACCATACGTCTCCACCTCTTGAACGAACACTATTCAGGATGACTTTAATCAGCGACGCCATCAAAAGTGACCACCGCGACCTCGAAGAGGCCTACAACAACATCCTGACCGCCGCAAGCGATGACGAGAAGCGCCGGTGGCAGAACCAGTTCACCTGGGAGCTGGCTCGCCACTCCATCGGCGAGGAACTCGTCCTATACCCAGCGATGGAGGAGCACCTCACCGATGGGAAGGCGATGGCCGACAAAGACCGGGCGGAACACAAGACGGTAAGTTTAGTGTACTTTGCGCTTTCTACCAGAGAGGTGTGTGGAGACTAAGAGGTGAATCTAGGTGAAAGATCATCTGGAGAAGTTCCAGAACCTAAAGCCCGACGATGCAGAGTTCATTCCGACCCTCCAGGGACTGTGGGGCTCTCTTTCGCAGCACATCAAGGAGGAAGAGGAGCAGGATCTTGTCAAGCTTGAAGCGAATCTGGATAATGAAGTCTCCAAGGCCATGGTCTCCTCGTTCAAGCGCACCAAGATGTTCGTCCCGACTCGCAGTCATCCCTCAGCGCCCGACAAACCGCCCTTCGAAACGGTGGCAGGATTACTGGCTGCGCCCATCGATCATATCAGGGACCTGTTCAGAAAGTTCCCGGACCAGGCTGCTAGTGACATTCCACCATGAATGTTGTCGGAGAATATGTCGTGGTGAACATGTGTTGATTTATGATTTATGTTGTTCCAGCTTGATGGTTGATAGGCCTGGGGAGATTGTCATGAGTGTACCAAGTATTGTGGAAATGTGAATCATAAGCTTCATGTTTTCGACAAGGACTGGGGAACAAGAGTAGCAAGATCTGATTAGCAATCGAGTAAGAATGAGCTTCATAATCTAGGGCCAGGTACAAAATTTCGATGAAGTATCCCTTGAACCTGACGAGCTAACATGCTTTGGGCATCCATCCTCTCACGATCGACACACGATCCACTGGCTCTAGAACATCATAAGGCTCAGGAGAGTGTCAGGTCCGGCACGATTCAGGGACACCGTCTTACTCCGATGCAGTCATGGGTCAATTAACCCGGAGTTGACGGTGTAAAAGTGCCAGATTGAGAGCGCATCCGGCTTAGAATTACCATGAACGGCTAGAAAGCGGAATAGTAAAAAGCGGGACCGGAACTCCGACAACCGATCGCCGACTTAATTGTCCCACTTATGCTCTCCCTTCGGCTTATGAATTCGAGGATTTGTGAGTTTCTCGATCAATCCTGCTTGTCAACACGGCGTTACTCACATATTTGGGTAGCGGATATACAGCATCATTCATCACCAGAGATACTTTCTGACCCATCGAGGACTTTTCTACGTTAGCGCGTGGTGAACGGAACATATGATGATGCGTTGCTCCCCAGGTCCGCGGACCGGACAAGTTATGCCTAAGCGCTGGGACGCCATGTGTCTCGCCGGTAACTCCTATCTCCACACTCCGGGGCCCACCAGGCAAGCTCCAGCTTTTGATTTTTGCTGCCCTGGAAGATGCGCCAGGTGACATATATAAGCTAGAGGTCCACATGGCTTCAAGGTGGTGAACCAAGAGCTTGGTGTCGATTCCAGATCCCCGACCACGGATATCTTTGGGGTTACGTTTGCTAGGGCTTCATCTACGACGGAACGATCCATCAACGAATTCACAATAGAACACTCATAACGAAGCACAATGGCTGCGGTGCAAGAGGAAAGCACAAAAACAATCAAAGATGTCGAAGCAGCCGCTGGACAGCCGCAGAAAGAGAAAGTCGTCGATCCATACATGGTGGATTGGGAGGGACCCGACGACCCCCAGTGTCCCATGACCTGGCCTTTGAGCAAGAAAGTGCGGCAGCTGGCCGGAATGGGAGTCAACAGTCTTCTCACGTACGTGAAAATGCATCCCAGAGAGTGGAAGGATATCGTCACGGAGCATCTAGCTAACATGCAAGATCCAGACCTCTATCCTCATCGATGTTCACCCCAGGCGAGGCAGACGTGCTGGCCGAATTCCACACAACAAATTCCACACTAGGGTCCTTCGTTGTCTCCATCTTCCTGCTGGGCTACGTGGTCGGCCCCCTGGTAATTGCGCCGTTGTCTGAGATGTACGGCCGTTGTCGACTCTACCACATCTGCAACACCCTCTTCCTGATCTTCACCATCGCATGTGCAGTCGCCCAAACATTACCGCAGCTGTTTGTGTTTCGCTTCTTCGCCGGAGTCGCCGGTAGCTGTCCGATGACGCTGGGTTCCGGCACCGTGGCGGATCTCATCCCCAAGGAAAAACGCGCAGGCGTAATGGCCATTTGGGCCATGGGCCCCATTTTGGGCCCCGTCATCGGGCCCATCGCCGGGTCATTCGTCTGCGCGAACATCGGCTGGCGCTGGGTATTCTGGATCATTGCCATCGCGGTACGCTTGCCCCCCCCACCCATACAACCATCATGACAAGACTTCCAAACTAACACCCATATCCCAGACCGGAGTGATGCTCATCGCCACCCTATTCTGCTACCGCGAAACCTACAGTGTGGTCCTCCTCGAGCGCAAAGCCGCGCACCTGCGCAAGGAAACGGGCAACGAGAAATACCGCTCGAAATTCGACCGCGGCACGCCGCGCAAGGAGATCTTCCGGCTGGCGGCGGTGCGGCCCGTCAAGCTGCTCTTTCTGTCACCGACCGTGCTGCTGATGGCGCTGTTCGGCGCCGTCTCCTACGGCTACTTGTACCTCATGTTCACGACCATCACCGCCATCTTCGAGGAGGTCTACGGCTGGCGCCAGGAGATCTGTGGCCTGGCGTACCTGGGCTTCGGCCTCGGCGCCATCCTGGGTGTGCAGGTCACCGGCTACGTGGCCAACCGCATCGCCGCGGCGCACACGGCCCAGGGCCGGTTCGTGCCCGAGTCGCGGCTGATCCCGTGCCTGTACGGCTCGTGGCTCCTGCCCATCGGGCTGTTCTGGTATGGCTGGTCCGCCGACAAGCAGGTCCACTGGATCATGCCGATCATCGGAACGGGGATCTTTGGGGCGGGGCTGATGTGTGTTTTCGTATGTGCTTTCCCTTAATACCTTGGTGTGATTCTGGTGCATGCTAACCGATGATGCAGCTGTGCATCAACACCTACCTCGTCGACTCATATCTGCTGTACGCTGCCTCGGTAACAGCCGCCAACGCAGTGTTGCGCTCGCTGATCGGGGCGCTGCTCCCGCTGGCCGGTCCGTCGATGTACGATGCCCTGGGGCTGGGGTGGGGCAACTCTCTGCTGGCGTTCATTGCCCTGGTCTTTTGCTCGTTCCCGGTGTTTTATAGCCGGTATGGGGCCCGGATCCGCACGTCGCCGCGGTTCCAATTGAATTTGTAGTGGGTGCGGGTGGCACTGTGGTTTTGCTAAGCGATAGAAACGATTTTCTTCTCTCATAAAAATGTACTTGATATAGATCTGTAGCTTGGCTTCATCTTGTAATTGGATTGTAGAGTTTACATTGGATTAAACAAGCATGTATGACCGGAGGCTGTGCTGAGTACTTAGGGCTCATCGTCCGCCCTGGCCCTAGTCTAGCCATTTACTGAGCGTGAGCAACGGGAGAAGTTCATCCATTCTACGAAGTCGCTGCTACCGCTCCCTGCTGACACCGGGTGGTTGCTATGGATGAATGGCATGGTAGGTGATATTGTTCCCGGTGTGGGGTGAGCAGTGCACCGTGAGCAAGCTGAACAATTGAACTAGCGAATTGTTATTGTGGCCGATCAGCGTGCACTCGATCAGCTTTTGAAGTGGTAAGTCGACATACTCTTTTGTCCTCGTCAATCACCTCGGAGTCACTCTTCTCATGAATCCCTGTTAAATCAGCATGATTACAGGAGCCTAGCCTCAGCTGCTTACGTGAGTTGACACTACATATATCACTTTCTCATACGGCCCTAATAGTAGGCACATTTCATACGCGAGCCGGAACCCTACCTTACGATGACAAATAGCCTGATGCAAAGGCAAGGAAGAATATATGCGGTCTAGGCTGCTGGTTAGGGAGAGGCAATGTTGACCACAATCTTGCCCGCATTTTCATAGGACACGAATCGCTGCATGTAGGAGGGAACGTCCCGGAGCTCGATCTCCGTCACGACGGGGGAGAGCAGGCCGGACCTGATGTACTGCATGACGCGATAACTTTCCTCCCATCCGCCCATGAGCGTGCCCTGAATCCGGATTCCTTTCTCGACCACCTCGGCAACGGGGAAGGATACCTTCCCGCCGTGCTTGGGGACACTGGTTGGTTCATATTAGCTGGACAAGAACCTTAGGGAGGCTTAATCACGGCGAGGGAAATGACGCACCCAACGCAGACGATAGCGCCACCTTCACGCAGATATTCGATTAGATTTGTGTACGCTGCCGTCGATCCCGCCGTGACAATGACCCCATCGGCCATCGCAGGTGGCACCTCGGGTCCCCGTAACTCGCTACAGGCGCGTGAAAGGCCTTCGAGAAATGAGGTAGTCCCTTCCGAGTTCCGATTCGCAGGGACGAACGCATCGTAGCACCCGGAGCTGCGTGGGCCCAGCCCGCGCTGCTTCTCCGGCAGGTCGACGCCAATGACCTTGGCTTTGTACACTTTTCTTGCAATCTGCCCGGCTAGATGGCCGATAGCGCCCGCAATACCGCTGATTACCACCACATCTCCTGGGCTGGGGCTCAACTTCCTTAGCGCCTTGGATGCAGCAGCACCGGAGCATAGAGCAGCCGCATAATCACCCAAACTCGGCCCGGCGCCGGTGTGAATGTTGTCCAGGATGAAGGCGGGCAGAGGCATCAAGGACGAGATCGGAGCCCTGATGTACTCCTGGTACGCCCCGCGATGATCTCGTGGGAAGTTGCGTTGAGAGGAACAACGCTCGGGGACATCGTGGAGGCAGGCATGGCAGTGGCGGCAGTGGCGGGCCAGGTATCGCGCCGCCACCAGGTTGCCGAGCAGCGACTCGTTCTGCGCCATCACGATTCGTCCAATGCCTTCATGGCCGCCGATCATATTGTGTTGAGGATAGCCCTCGCGCAGTCCGAGGGAGAATATGATATCCTTTTGTCCCGCGGTTGAAGGATACTTAGCATGGTACTGTAATGATTTGGGTTCGGAGATGACAAACGCTGCTACACAGACCGCTCACATAGAGCTTCACGACGACTTCCCCACTGGTGGGTGGATCTGTTCGAATGTCTTGATAGTTCAGATTCAGCTTGTAGCCTACTACAGGCGTAAGCACAGCGGCGTGCTGGGCGGGCAGTTGGAAGTTCGGCCCCATGTGCCATCCTGTGTGCACTGGTTCCCGTGATGAGACCAAGTGATCGCCTGTCTGACTTGATCCGGACCCCTCGTCAGAGTTAGTTTGGACGACGAGGACGAGAGATCCTAGTCAAGGCAAGGAAAGCAACTAACCTCTACTCCGGGCCGGAGAGGTAAGTCGAGGTGATGATCCTGCGATGTAGATTGCGAGGTCATTGAGGATGAAGTGCAAGGTAGGGAGGTATCAGAATGAGAGAGATTATTGAGTGACCCCTTCTTTATGTAGAGAAATGATGACATCGGTAAGCCAGGCGTCCTTATTTCCGGTTTCGATTAGATGTGGGGAACTGAGCCCCCCTCGGAAGTTATATTCCGCCTCCCACATCCAAAGGCGAGGATCTCAAGGTGCGTTCTTTCATTCTGTTGAGGCTCTATGAATGAGATAAACAGACAGCCATTCTCCCCTCAAAGTTCAGCATGTAGTATCATGGAAAAGCTGACCCTCAAGCAATTTCACCTTGAAGTACACTAAACACCTGGTAGAATAAGGAACTTTTAGACATGGACTTTAAAGAACTTGCCACAACGATAAAAAAACAGTCCAAAAATCACATATTGTAATGACCCTTGCTTCATAAGATCTAGGTATAAGGGAACCCGACTAACCTGTCCCATAGCGTCGGGGCTTTTTCGGGAAGCATCATGCTATAGAATCCTGTCCACTTCCAAACTGCATCGCATCCCGCAAATTTCCACTGGCCGTCGCTTGATAGTGTTTTGACTATGTGAGATTCGGTGTGCCCTTAGTGCTGCCCTTGGATTCTAGCCGCGGATGGTAATGAAGTTCATCAATTTAATCACACTCCTTCCTTTGTGTTCTCTCCGGTATCATCATATGTGCGTATGGAGATGCATATTGTGGATTAGAAAATGGGGAAAAGCTCAAAATGTCTGTCCCATGTGATTATTGTGAGTCCAGAGCAATCATCACTTGAGTAAGAATATCAAATCATCAAGCTCACCCGTCTCCCACTTGTTCGAATTCCAAAAAGTCCAGAATGGCATTCACCTCCGCCGACCCGCCAGCGTCCAAGCACGCGACAATGGCCCTGACCTCGCCCATCAGCCTCGAGATCTTCTGTCGACAGTACCGAAAGCTCCCCGTCGCTTTCATCTGCCGCACCGCAAATGTTTTGACCGCCTCGTCTGTGGTCCGCTGGCGCAGGATGTGCAGCAGCTGCCGGTTGGCAGGGTCCTGGCGGATACTGTGGATGATCGGGAACGAGAACTTGCCCTCCGTCAAATCCTCGCAGAACCCTTTGTTGGAGGTGTACGCCTCGCCTTTCAGGTTCTGGTAGTCGTCTCGGATCTGGAAGATGGTTCCAACGAGGTTGATCAGCGAGACGTAGTCCCTGGGACGAAAGGAGTATGAATATCAGCACGTGTTGGTAGACGAGAAAAGACGCCAGGCCAGATCGGTCTTACCCTGACTTTCGGCTCTCCAGCTGCATCAGTCTGATCGCCAGCCTGAGCAGCCCGCCGGTCTTGTTGGACACCATGTCCAAATACTCCTCTTCCGTAGGGCAGGTTAGCGAGTCCCGCCAGTAGAGGTCCATCCCCTGTCCGCGGTGCAGATTGAGCATTTCCTCCGTGAAGATGGGGAGAGCGGATGGGTTGCCCAAGCCCTCCAGGTGTTTCTGCGCTAGGAAGTAGGCATGTTTTGCGGAGTTGATTGTCTGGGCGAGCCCAAAGATGCTGTGCGCCACGGGCAGGCCCCGCTGCAGCTTGGACCGGTCTTGAATGTCATCAATCCTATCATACGTCAGTAAAGAGCGGGTATGACACGCCGATAGTCGGCGTCTACTTGCAAGAGAGAGGCCGTGTGCAACAGCTCAATGACCCGACTGATCACATTGAGCTTGTCCTGAGGGACCTCCAGGAGTCGGTTAAACCCCGCGATGAGTTTACCACGGAAGCTCTTCCCGTGTGAGGAGAGCAGGAACTCCATGGGGCCGGAGATAATCTGCAGCCGAATCATCTGTTAGCATGACAATCTAGCCGTTCGGAGAAGACATCTGCGAACCTCCTCCTTGTGTCAATACTCGGTGGCCATGGATCTCAGGTCTACCACCCTGGATCCCGAGATTCTCGAGCAGTGGTTGCCACTCCGCGATACGTGGGGCTGGCTTCTCGTCCGAGAATTCGATTCTCCCGACCGGGGATGAGGTGCTGTGCTCATCGATGCCTAGCGCTTGTGACTGGTACTGGTTCAATAGTCATTGTGTTAGAGTCACTCTCGCATATTAATATCCTGACAGCTGATATGGATATGCCCCCAGTAAAGTCATTAAGAGGCCATTGTCAGGACGATTCCCTGGGTATTCAAGGCAAAGCCCACCCACCTCACGCACATCCACATGACAAGGCAAAAGCTTCACAGCGCACAGCTAAGGCAACCATTCAATGCCTTATAGGCACAGACTTCTCATGACGTCAGAATATGAAAGAGCACGGCGCAACAAGCAAGGGGGGCTATTGCATTCCTACACGAAGATCCTCGTATCGGAGGAGAGGAATTGCTTCAAGGTACGGGTATTCAACACCCGTCCATCAAGGGTGATCAGGTGTCATATTGCCAAGGAGCATGCCTTGTCAGAGCATGGGGTGAAATAGACTTCGATTGCAGAGCTTGCAGCGCTTGTGATGTCAGCGAAGTAAAGCCAAACCCGGAATTGTGAATAGGCTACGGTGATAGAACGCAGACAGACTGCAAGGGGTTTGCACACGTCAATAATCCCTTGCGCAATTGTGCCACCATCGCACTTGCCAACGGATTGAAGTCCGTGCCTTGGAAAAAACACAACCGGGAAAGAATATGACATTGTAATCATGTATGCAAAGTGACAGGTACGAAGATGTAGCGTTATATGTAAATGTCGCAGAAATGCACTCGCATCTGAAGTAAAACCGGATTATGACTGTAGATTTACGTGAGAGTTTGCACTCAGGACGAGTGGAGAGCCATATTGGAATAGGGTGTCGTACTTGGATACTAGAAAGACAGATGAACCTCTCATGTGAGTGAGCAAGTGGCCAGGAACCCCGATCACTCAGAATAACAAAGCGGAGATGATGCAGTTCATAGATGGAGAGTATATTTCCTCTACCATGAAGCAGCGGCAAGATACGCTTGCAAGGTACACGTACACAGCCACACACACTCACGCATCAAGAGCGGGCAGAGTATTGGGACAGTTAGCTGGCCTCAACATACTCCAAACCCCCCGTGAGAGAGCCATACTTGGCATGAAAGTAGTCCAACAAATAATTCGTGCGAGGTCGCCAGGGCCCGACAGATCCTGCTTTAGGTATGCCCCCTTTACCGGCCGCAATGTATGTTGAGTTCAGGTCCCAAAGTGGGCGAACAGCCAGATCTGACCATTTATGTAGACGAGGTAAGGCAGCTACACTGCCCGTCCGTTTCATGTGCGTGATCAATCGACAGGCGGCCACAGCCGTCACATCCGCTCCCATTGTCCAGGACGCGCTCGTGAGATACCCGAGAGCGAAGAAAGCATTCGGGACGCCGTCGAGCATCATCCCATTCCACATGAATCTATCCGACAGTTTACACATCTGCCCGTCGATGTCTAGTCGGATCGCACCTCCGATCTGGAGTTTCAACCCCGTTGCTGTGACAATGATATCTGCACCGACAGCTTTCCCATTGTCCAGGAGAAGGCCATCTGCGGTACAGTCCTGGATGGTTGCTGTTTCAGTGCTGACCTTTCCGCCACGCATGCTGTGGAAGTAATCTCCGTTGGGACATGCTAGGAGCCGTTGGTCCCAGACATTGTATGTGGGTTGGAAGTGCGGCTGGAGAGGGACATGAGCTGGGAGCTCTTTTCTGACCCGGCTCAGCAGGTAGTCTCTTGCATATTGAGGCCATCGGCGAGATGCGTAGTAACCGATCAAGGTGACGAGGAGCCACCACAGACGCCTGAGCTTGTGAGCCACTGGAGTCGGCAAGAATCTCGTTAACAAGGACTTAGCCCCCGGTAAGTCAACGAACAAAATGTAATTCGGGCTTCTCTGGATGACCGCAACGCTGGACGCGGTCTCTGCGAGTTTGGGGACAAGGGATATAGCCGTCGCTCCGCTGCCGATGACAGCAATTCTTTTCTCTGAATGATCCAGATCTTCGGGCCAGAACTGCGGATGGATCACTGTTCCTTGGAACTGGTCGAGACCAGGGATTTGAGCGGGCAATGGCTCAGTGTGGTCGAAATACCCTGTCGCGAAAATCACATATCTTGCGCTGAAACAGTGCTTCTCATCGTCAGCCGTAGCTCCCAAAGTCCAGGCATGGTCGTCAGACGACCAACTTGCTGTCGTGACTCGATGGTTGAAGAGAATGCGGTTGTGAATCCCGTGCTCCGTCGAAGCATTGTCAACGTAATTTCGGAGTGATTGTCCATCTAGCATAATCTTGTGGCCATGGTAGGGGTACCATGTAAATCCGAATGTGTACATGTCGGAGTCGAGTCGGACCCCAGGATAGCGCATCAAATCCCAAGTCCCCCCGACAGCATCGCGGGCCTCGAGAATAACATATGTGTGGTCAGATAGCAGTTTCTGTATTCGATATGCGGCATTAACTCCAGCAACGCCTGCGCCGATGATGATGATGTCGTATTTTCCAGCGAAGGACATTCTGAGAGCCGTGAGACGAGGAGGTGTTGTGTGTGGAGACATGAAGATAACTTAGCACGGCTAGTGAATACTAAACTGCAATGCTCGTATTGCATATTTCATGTTGAAAATCACGACGATACATACAGCATTCCTTAACATAGTAGGTCATGTACTGTATGTCAATCCATGTTCTGGCGACAGCGATCCTTTTACCAAAGATTGCCCTGACATGTTACAAAGAGCCCAACCAGGTACTGGGTCAGGTAGGGTATGTGATATCCTACTCGTCTCATAAAGATGGCGGATGGGAGAACATGAAGAAACACAGAGATTCAGTTTCCTCTTGGCGTTCCGACGCAGGATTGTTGCTCTATGCGTGAGAAGAGATACAGGAATATGTAAGGGGGCAGTATAGAATTCTACGCAACCTTTTCACTGAAGAATTCTCCAGACCTATCACATCATGAAGGTTCAATGACTCGTTCAGACACTGTATCAGTCTCAAGGAATGACTGTCAATGATGCGGTGAAGGACTGCAGACTAGAGGATTGTTCTGATTAGCCATACGGGCGGGAATACCGAAGAGCCGGAACAAAAAGCCCAATCACGATCATCCGGATCGGACCACGCCGATCTGATCTCAGATCAAATCTACGATCCTTTCCCGATCCGATCACTCCAGGATGTATCCTCGTTGCATCTCGATCATCCCGACACTCACCCCCTCACAGTTTTGTCGACGCATCTCCCATCAACCAGTCCATGAATGGATCCTGAAGAAGTCGTACCATGGCCCCTCGCTGCAAAGTAACCCGCACCTCCCATGGTGCTGGGACCGAATTCATCCGAGCAGGTAGCATGCAGACCGTCCCGTCAATTCTGTTATCTGGACTATCGAACTCCACCACCTTTCCCAAGACTGCGCCAAAGTCTAACCCATACACTCCCATGCGACGCAGACTGGTTGATGTAACGTCTGCTTGCCTGAACTTTGGACTCCAGTCGATACTTTCTTGCTTTTCCCGGATGAGCGCTTTCACGGAAGCATCATCCACGCACAAAAACGTAGCATGGACCTTGAGGGCGAGGTCGGTAAGAACCTGCAGCCCGTTGGTCGTGAGAGTGGGTGACTGTGCAGTATGAGATACGAACTCCAGAGCAGACCGGATGGGTGATAAGGTCGCAGTCTGGACGATCCCATTCCCAATGTAAGACTTTGGCAGTGGCGGTGTCAGGGCTCGGCGAATCTCAGTGATCAGGATGAGGGAGCTCTGGGCCGAGTCGCCCTGCCCCTTAAGGGTTTCTGAGCAGGGTCGATACCGCGCCCTCATAATTGCAAGCCATAGTATAGCGGATATGATATCATTTGACGACAGTATTGGCCTGGGCTCAGAGGATACGCGGTTGTTCTCCATGTGTCCCCGGACGAGTGCATTACACATTGTTTTCAGATACGCGATTCTGGCAGCACTCAATGTCAGACGCCGGCTGATCAGGCCTTGTGCACAATTGAAGTCAGCTATCGTGAGGTCCTGCAGGCGCCCCGCTGACAATCCTCCACTGACCCCACCCGAGAGGCCAGTTTCCAGAATCCTCTGTCTCCCTTTCAGAAGATCTGCTCCCAGGGAAGGCCCCTGCCTTGCGCTTCCTGGCTCTCGACAACATTCCGCCAATGCAGCCTGGATGATATAGAATCCTGCAGCGTCCAGCACGGAGTGATGGAAACATACCGCTACGATCAGCCCATCTCGCATGATGTTCGCTTGCCACCGGATGATGGGGCATTCTTGGGCAGTCGCTGCGGCGAGGGGGACTGGCAGATAGGCCTCGCTAAACAGGAAATTGTTGGAAAATCGATCGTCAGAGCAGGTGGACCCGTGGTACTGGCCGGCCATGTAACGATCCTCATGATGTCTCACTCGTAGAATGGGAAATTCGCGCAAGGATTCCACTGTGGGCGGATGAACAGCTCGCACGGTGGGGGCTTCGTGACCATGATTCGAGTTGATCAAATTCCCTGCCAGAAATGGATTCGCCCGGAGTAGCCGATGGAGAGAGTCTCCAATGACAGGCACGGCTCTTTCTGGATCGTCGAGTAGAAAGCCATAGAAGAATGCTATGTAGGCAATTGGCATCATGTGATCCAACGGTGTGAGCTGTATCGGAGTGAAGTAGAATGACATGATGCTAGAGAGAGAGCAATCGAGGTGCTTGTTTTGGGAAAGCAATGTCTCTTGAAAGGTCCAATGCTTTAGAGCTTGTTTTATATGCATGAAATAACTATATAGTCCCCCAAACGTACACGGATTTAGTGTGGGATTTTGTATTACGTTGTTGAGACCCATTTGCTTGCTATGAATCACATGCATAAAGTTGCCATTCTACGTATCTGAGCTTGTGGCAGGTACTAGGAGTAGAAGGTAATACAGAAGCTCGCCCATGCATCACTGAAATTGAATCCCTCTTGCTAAGACATATAACAAAACATCTACGAAGGGAGGTCGGTATGGCTACGTGGCCTTGCGTCCTGCTGAGTCAATTCAACTAACCAGATGCAAGTGAGACTCCAGATCAGGGTCTACACTATCCAGGATGCTCATTATCTCCTCCCAGAGTCTCTCTTGGCATAAAACGCCTTCTGGGCTGGAGGCAAATGTGGAAACACTGCAAGGCTCAGTCATATGGCAGTGCATCTCAGGTGAAGATGTACTTACGGTACTTGACCCCCCTGGCTGAAGTATGTGTCGGGAGGACTTTCCGTCTGAGTGACAGAGGCCATTATTATCATTCGCGCCCCGGCGTCGCAGGTCCGAGCAAAGCAGCGCGCCAAGAGATCTGCTGGTGCAGACCTTACATTGCGGAACAATTCACTCTTGCAGAGTCCCGGAGAAACCAAAGCGATTGAGAGCTTTCCCGGGTCAATACGCCGAGACATAGCCTGGGCCAAGAGAAGCTCAAACAGTTTGGACGTGTAGTAGTGGGTGTAATGATCGAATGCTTGGGCTTTCTGGTTGAAAAAGTCCAACATCCTGCCGTGTTGTGCAAATGGCGTTGGGACCATAGCGTGACCCTCGGATGTCACAAAGACTATGCGTGGTGGGCCGTTCTGATAACGGAGGCACGGAAGAAGCGACATAGCCATAAGTGCGTTCGAGAGCACATTCACCTGGTTTGTTAGCAGCGTCTGACAATGGACAGTATGACGTACTTGGAGAGAAATGTCAAACCCATCCGCTGACGCCATCCATTGTGAACACCAGACGCCGGCATTGAGAATGACCAAATCGAAGGTCTTGGATTCATCTTTCAGCTGCCCTACAAAGCTTCTGACTGAGTCGAACGACGCTAGGTCACACTGTCGAACCTCAATATTGGCCGTTGGAAGAGCTCGAAGAATCTCCTGTCGAGCAGCTTCGCCCTTGGTTATGGATCGGACGGCGGTGATCACTTCAGCACCCTGTGATGCAAGCATCATTGCTAGAGAAAGACCAATCCCGGAGTTTGCCCCTGTCAAAAGAACGGCTTTTCCATGGAGATCGAGAGGTGCAACTTCAGGAATTCTGTAGAAAAGTTGCCGGAAGAGAAATGCGAGTAGGCCATGATAGTAAGGTGCCATCTTGACAATGGTATTCCATATGGCAAAGGTCACTGGGGTCAGAGATCTGTGTAGTAATGTCCAGAGTTCAGTGTGATGTTATTTCAATCTTGTCGCGGCGGTGATTATCGCCTAGAACTGACTGTTGCCTATTTTATGAGTATTTGCTATCTCACTATCGCTTCTTCTTGGCCTTGTATTGACCTTACTTGGCATTGAAATGTATACGTCCTTTTTTTTCATACATGTTGGTTGTACAGGAAATGTAAATTCAATCTTTGTACGCAATCGAAGTGAAGCATGCACCAGGTTGATCATTGAACCAATGCACTGCCCCAGTCAGAAGTGGCTGTGTAATATTGTCAGGCTACCCAGTTTCAGAAAATTGACAGTTTCACAGACATGGCCTAAGAGAAGATCGGTGGAGAAAGAATCTCGGAATTCGTCAAACCCTTTGTCGGCAGATTAAATCTTTGTCTGCCGTATCACGGTCTTATCCAACCCTTGCCTCTGATGCCTTGGCTCTGATACCTTCTACCATGTCGTATATTCTTGTACTGTGGTACCCTGACTGTCTGCCAGAGAATTATAGTGAAGGCTCTCTCTATATCATCATGCACGTATATACCACCCCTTGGACCTACTTGGATCTGGGACGCAGGAGTAATTGGGACACCCCAAGGCTGCGAGATAGAATACTCCTTCACCGGCAGTATTCTAGCTCGGGCGACCTAAGTGCATATCCAGCCAGGGCTATTGTGTCTGAATTGACCTGCAATCCCACAAGATGCGGTTTTTTCCTCAGCAGACTAGCAAGAAGCCGGCTCACTCTCGCTCGAGAACGAGTTCACAGACACCGATTCATGCCTTGTGAGGCTTCCTCGAACGCTATGTCCGAGAGCTTTGTACTAATGGGCACAGGAAAACCGGAAGTTCAGCTATCACCACGGAGCTATCATTGATCATAGCACTCCTGCGAGACAATTTCACTGCCCACTGTGGCAACGCTGTCGCATGCCTATCCGCACGGCTTTCGGGATCAAATCTCTCAGTCCAACAGCTTTCATCCCGGTTGCCTGGGGTGTGTCTCGCGATATTGGCATTTTCGTATGTCTTTGACATCGCAAATCAGGCCTTCTCCGTGGAAGAGGATGCCCTCAACAAGCCCAAGAGGCCTATTCCCTCGGGCAATATGAGCGTAGAGGGCGCTTACACGCGCTGGCTACTGAGCTGGATTCTCTTCCCGATCTTGCTCCATCTCACCGTGGGTCTCCAAGCCACTACAATTCTGGTTCTGTGGGAGGGGTGGGTTCTACTGTTTTACGTGTGGCCCAGATTCGATAACTGGGCCACGCGCAATCTGTTCACGGCGGTTGGGGCCGTGCTCCAGCTGAGTCTGCTTGATGCATTGCTCGAGGATGTCGAATTGCCGAGTGCAGAGGGGAGCTCGCTCAGGTGGCTCTTGTTTAAGTGGTTGATCATGACCATTCATGTTCAGGAATTTCATGACATGGAGGGCGACAGGAAGGCCGGCCGTCATACATTGCCACTGGTCCTCGATCAACGAGGGCAATTGTGGCTACGCGGTGCCACGGCGGCGGGTATCGCCTGCGCTGCGATTGCCAACGGCTCGCGGATCGAATACGCAACTATGTCATTGAAACCAGCGCTGTTGCCTTTAGGACTGTGTCACCTACTTTCCATGCTGGCAGTAGCAGTGCGTCTTGTGACGCTGCCGGTCAAGGAGGCCGACAAGGTGACCTACAAGTATTATTATACCCTGGCGACTTATACTATGCTGCATTTCCATGTGTGTGCGGAGCGCGACGGATTGTGAGAAACATATTGGTCCGCACATCCTCCCCAGCTCAGTGGCCTTACTCTTTTTCCTTCTTTTTGGCATGTTTTCTTGCAGCACTCGCCAGTCAGATAAGACCTTTTTGTCTCGTGTTCTAAGCATTCAAATTCTCAGTATGTCTAAAACCATGTTACCGCGATTGTTGCCTCGGGGCTCCGCCGTAACTTGGAGAGATTTCATAGCATTCTTCCCGCCGCTGAGGATCAGCTCAGAGAGGAGTGCTCAAATGGTATGGGCCGGCCCAAGGAGGTTTGTATTGACAGTCTTGGCGAAAAGGCCAATTGGGAGGTCGTGAAAGGAGAGTCGGTTTATGGACATGGCCGCGCAATTCATTAGAACATTCTGCCTTCCCATCTGTTCTTCTGTTATTTGCCCTCGTAAAATCATTGGGCCTAGGTAGATGTGTACTCACGTCGGTCTGGATTGTGCTCATGATAGCCTCTACCTCTTGCTGGTCCGATATATCGCACTTGAAATACCCCAAACCAATTGCGATGGGTGACTGACGCATATCAACCTCATCATCAATGTCTAGCACGGCCACAAGGGCGCCATTGACCCGATACAGCTCTGCAATCTCTTTCCCCAGCCCACTCAACCCTCCCGTGGCGATGACTACTTTACCCTTTGCACTCATACCGCCGGTCCTCTCTCTCCGCGCGCGGAGAACGGGCCAGAGCGTCATCGCACCGGCAACGAGGGCGACAGTCGCGCCTGCCGGAGAGGATACTTGCGCCATCGTGATGTGATAGCTTCCGAAGTGCGTCTTTCCAAGCGACCATAATCAGGGCCTAGGTGTTGACTCTGGACTGTATACGGCCCAAATGAGGAGTCATTCTCTCATACGAGGCGAAGATGCTCGTATCGGCTAATTTTGCCGCCATTCATCAACCTTTCAGGGCGTTGTGGGGTGCGATGAGCACATAGCACGGCAAGTGTCCCACCTTGCGTGCATGTAATTGCCGACAGTATGTGATCTGTCAGATACCGGGTTCATTCGCATCGTACGAGTGGCGCATTCCTGGAATCTGGCCAGGTCATGCGGTATGCCCTTGCTTCGATCTGCTGCATGAATTGGCGGTGTGTGAGAACGAGTAGGCGAGGTAGTGCAATCCGGGAATTCTGACGATAGGAGGAGACAAGGTACTGAGTCTCAAGACGGAAAATCAAGAATCGAGAAACGAGGTATGTACTTCCCAGTCCAATGATATTCCTGCCACACATTTTATACACAGACTTTTCCAATCCAGCCTTCTTGGTCATACAAGTCAGGACTCGTCGGAATCTGCACACTTTTCATAAACCGAAAAGAACCAGCAGCGGGTGCAAATTTTGTTTGTTTGTTCGAGAGGGTCTTCAGTCAGGAAATTGTGATACTATTCAAAAGGGCTTGTCACTTAGTCATGGTTTAGTTCATGGAGTTGGGGAAGATTAGTCTATTGTGACAAGATTCATTTCTAATGATAAAGAATGGTAACGTAATTGGCAAGCGAGTGGGCACTGCAATACAGGCCTGCCGACTTGCTTACATTGCTCACTCGCTTACCGATTATGATTATCAGACTGGCTGTAAGTTGTTTGATTGTCTTCGACTACTACCACCAGTTCCCATATCCACACTATCGCACAGAAACTGAGATACGAATATTATCTGTGTTGCTTAAGCAGGAGAATTTAACCGACCCAAGCCCTTGATCATTTTTCCCTATTTTCACCATGAGCATGATCTTCAAGCCAGAGAGACAGCTCCGTCTACCAACCACGGATCTCCTTTCCTATATCTTCGGCGATCCTGAATATGATCCCAACGAACAAGTAGGGCCAATCACTAAAGTACTGCCCATCTTCAGTACCATCAGAAGCTGACTACCGCGTCTTAGATATATATCGACGCATACAACCCAACCCACACGATATCATGTAATGGTGCCAGAAAAATGGTCAAGCAGCTCATCCGAGGTCTCCAAGATTCAGGACTCGAGCCCGGGGATTGTGTGGTCATACATTCTTTCAACAATGTAGGCACCCCTCTCCTGTCTACGCCCGCAAGCTAAAGATTGACCCTCAACTGCAATAGATATACTACAGCGTCCTAGTGCTAGCCATCATCGGTGCAGGCGGAGTTTTCACCGGCACAAACCCATCCTGCACGACCTCAGAGCTCGTGCACCATCTCAGAATTTCCAAAGCTCGGTACCTCATCTCCGAACCCGATCTCATACTTCCCATCCTCGAGGCCGCAAGAGAAGTCAACCTTCCCGAAGGCAACTGCTGGGTCCTCGACACCTATGAAGCCTCTACCGATGTCGCCCCACGCAATGATCTCTTCACCATCTCCAATGGTTTATCCTCTTGGCGGACGCTCCTCACCCACGGCGAGGCTGAATGGCAGCGCTTCGACAATCTCACCACCGCGAGGGACACAACCGCCGCCCGATTCCTCAGCAGCGGGACGACGGGCCTCCCAAAGGCCGTCGACATTACGCACTACAACCTCGTCGCGCAGCATACGCTTGTCTTCGAGGCGCATCCGCGGCCCTATCGAGTATGCTGCCCCCACTCTCCCCTTTACTACTTCTCTCACCTGAGCAGGTGATCAACTGACCGCCAGGAACATAGATGACGTCCCTAATCGCCCTTCCCGTCTTCCACGCCGCCATCGCCCCGCTCGTGCACATCGGCGCTCTGCGCTCCGGCTACACGATGTACATCATGCGGCGGTTTGAGCTGGGCTCGTATCTACGGTTCGTGAAGCAATATGCGGTCACGGACCTAATCGTCGTCCCGCCGATTTTGACGGCCATCTTGGCGTCTGACTCCCCGGGCCGGGAGACGGGTCTGAAGAGGGTGAGAAATGTGGTCTGCGGTGCCGCGCCGCTAGACAAGGATACGCAGGGTAGGGTCGTGCGTGAGCTGCTCCCGGAGGGTGTGCCCCTGACGCAGGGGTGGGGTATGACGGAGACGTGCTGCGCGGCTATGATGTTGCCTTACCCAGAGGTGGATGCCACGGGGTCCGTGGGGCGCTTGGTTCCGAATGTCGAGGCTAAGTATGCTTCTCTTGATGTCGGCCTCTTCGTGATTGTCCGGGAGCCCTACTGTGGTTTGTAAAGCAGGGGCTAATTAGCGTGAACGATGGTTGCAGGTTGATCGACGACAACGGAGAGAATCTCTCTGCCTACGATGTCCCCGGCGAGCTCTGCATCCGCGGCCCAACTGTGACACCGGGCTATCATGATAACCCGGCGGCGAATGAGTCCGCCTTCGACGCGGATGGCTGGCTGAAAACTGGTGACGTAGCGATATGTGACAGTGTCACGCGCAAATGGTACATCGTCGATCGAAAGAAGGAGCTCATCAAAGTCCGAGGGTTTCAGGTGGCCCCGTCGGAGCTGGAGGCTGTCCTGCTGTCGCATCCGGCCGTGGTCGATGCTGCGGTGGTGGGCGTTTGCGATCCGCTGCATGGGAGTGAGAGGCCGCGAGCGTTTGTTGTGGCGAACCCGGGCGAGCTGCTGCGTGGCGATGAGGTGAGACGGTATGCCGCGGAGCGGTTGGCCGGGTATAAGGATATCTCTGGGGGTGTTAGGGTTGTGGAGGCCATACCTAGGAATGCGAGTGGGAAGATTCTGAGGCGGGTGTTGCGCGGCCTAGCTGAGTATGATGCCGAAAGTGGGAGACCAAATTCGAAATTGTGAATTTGATGGATATTGTATGTTGAGATCCGTCCTATGTACATTTCTGAAAACTGATAACAAGATGCTCCCGCGCTTGTAGTCACAGGTGTTAGTTCTATAAAGGTCTGAAATTCTTCACCCCTCGGGGTAGAGTCATTTGTTGCATGACTAAAAATCTGATTCCAGAGCAGACCGAGAGCCTCATCTTGTATAGTCTCCAGATCCACCTTCAAAGCCACAGGCAATCTCAGTGCTTCTGTGGGAAGCTTGAGGAACAAAAACATCGCTCGATAGTCTGGTACAAGGCTCTGGTAGCTTGTTTGTTTCCCGACCGCAATGAGTTCGATCACCTTCATCCTAAAGCTCCAGGACTATTTTGTCGGGAGTAAGGTTCGCCAGCGGAGTAGAATCCAGAGCAAGTACCCAGGTGTCAGTGTCGGCATGCGTGCAGTAGTTAGTTTCTTTTTGGGTGCCTTAAGGAATCGCTCCGTGCGTGCGGAGAAGTCGCCCAGCCCCATAAAGAGCAGGCTCAAGAAGATGAGACACGCCGATTCGCAATTGTTGGTTCTAAGGCTGTCTCCCTAGACCTGGATAGGAGAGCCGCTCTGACCACCAAGTCCGCCAACATGTGTGCTGCCAAGACTTCTCCTGATAGTCCCATCGTTTCTGAGGCAAAGAACGCAATGCAGCATTGACTCGGGTTGAAAGGCACTAATGCGTCGGGGCTATACCTCATATTGAGTGAACAGTTCTGCCTCGCTCATCGGAACAAATTTCAGAATGGCAGATTTCCGCTCCGAAAATACATTTGTGAAGTAGTGACAGGGTTGGATCGAGGAGTACTATATGGGCGGGGTGCTTTTGGTCCTCACGAGGTTCCCAGCCAGCTGGATCTGGTGCTGCTAGTACAGAGTCCAGGGCTTCTTAGGTGACAAAAAGCGGGAATTCGTGGCGAACATCTCTTCCAAAGTACTCGCCGAACCGGTCTTCCGTGAGGTCACGATGTCGCGTATTCGCTGATCAGCACAGTACGATGGCTATTATTGTGAGAAGATGACACCCGCATACCGCTGGATCTCCTCCAAGGGGCATGTCTCAAGAGAGGGATCTTCTTGAACATTCCATTCAAGTTGATGCAGAATCGACTGGGCTCCCTCATCCTTTTCAAACCACCGGAATACTCTCGCGAGTGAAACCCCCGAACCGCTCCCATCGCGAATCATCGTCGTACGAGCGCGCACTGTAGATGAAAAACCCCCAGATTTCTGCCCTCGTATTTTTTACCATCGCGCGAAGTCCTCAATATCGCCGCCCGGGATCTCGCCCATGGTTGAAGGTAGGAGGGTGAGTGAATTTTTCCCAGCCAGAATCGAGAGTACAGAAAGTGTACAGAAAGTGTACAGAAAGTGGGACAAGTGAGTTGCAACCGTCGCCGTGGTTTTAGGTCTTGCGGTCACGTGTCATTCTTTTATCTTCCCATCGATCAAGATTGGTTACTGAGGTTGAGTGAGTGGGTACGGAGGCTTGCTGAAACCTCCAAGCAGTCATCCTGGAGAATGATATCGCCTTATATCTTATTTCCTGGCTAAGAAGAGCCACTTTCCGCCTCCCGTACATCAGGCCTCCACAGCATAATTGAGCATGGCTCCCGTCTCTTCTCTTACGTCGAACTCTCGATTCTGATGTTGAGTTTTCGACCAACAAACTATTTCGACTCTTGAAAACACCTGGGAATGTATGTCCCAGACCTTTCGACGTCATGCGACAAATTGAACAACAACTACAGCACCGTTTTGCTATGAAATTGCGAAATTACTTGATACAAGAAGCTAGTCATATGAAACACCCCAGAACAGTCATTCGCCATAGGCAATAGAAGCCTGCCTAATGTTTCTGTTTTACTTGGTTCTTTCTATTATTGATAAAGCAAGGCCCAGATCTGACTTACATGAGAACCCTCATTAGATCGAACGGTCCACCACCTATAGTCTAACGGCAAGGATGCAACCCTACACCTGACGCGAACGTACAGGCAAAGGCCCCCAGAGCCGAATGTCCCCCACCCACT